CGTGCCCGGCACGCCTGCGCCGCTGCTGCCCGTGAGCAGCGCCGCCGCCGCGTCGCCCGACCGCCCGATCGCCTCTGCCTTGGACCTCGAGCCGCGGCCACGCCGCGGCGCCTCCGCCTGCACGTCGAGGGTGAAGACGCGCGAGAGCGGGCGCTGGCGCAGCCCGGACCGCAGCGTGCGGCCCGTTGCCACCTCGCTGCCGTCGGCGCGCGCCGCCGACACGGCGGGCTCGGGCGAGGCGGACGACGCCCCGATGCGGACCACATGGGTGTACTCGAGAGGCGGCACCGGCTTCTGCGCCCGCCCGTCGGGAACGTGGAGCAGTGTGCCGTTGCCGGAAGGGTCGCGGTAGACGATGAGGCGGCGGACGCTGAAGGCGCCTCCCGGCGCCTCCGGTCCGGCCTCGCCGCCGCTGCACTCGCGCTCGGCGCTCTCGACGCAGTCGAGCGCCGCGATCCGCCGGCCGCTCGCGCGGCGCAACGTGCCTTCTCCGACCCAAAAGACGCCGCCGCCGGCGCGCGGGCCGCCGGCGCGCTCACGCACGTAGTCGGAGATCGCGGCCGGGGACCAGGGGCGGGCGGCGGCAGTGGCGAAGAGGATGGCGTGTGACACGGCCCCTCGCATTTAGAGGGACGTCGACGATAGAAAACACTTGCGATGCTAGGGATCCCTTTAGATGTTAAGTGTGGGTTAAGAGGGAGATTCGCGCGAGCTGCGGGACCGCCGGGACGGCGGGCGGGTGATTGCGACTCGCCGCCGCTTTTGGCGACTTTTGGCGACTTTTGGGACGCGCGATCGACCGGCGAGAACGATATGGCGGGCGAGGCCGTCACGGCCATGATCGTGGCTGACGACGGCGGCGACGACCCCCTGGCGGACCGCCGCGAGGACCGGGAGGCGGCGGCGGAGCGGGAGAGGAAGGCGAAGGTGGCGAAGCTCAAGGCGCAGACGGCGAATGCGATGGAGGTGGTGCGGACGCAGCAGGCCGCGAAGGAGCGGGGAGCCTTCGACGAGGCGGCTCTCACTGCGAACGAGGTCGCGGGAGCGCCGGTGAAGGGCACCTCCGCCATGGTCAAGAGCATCTTCGATTCCCGACGCGATGGCAAAGATTGGAAGATGGTGCAGCGGCGCGAGCAGCGGAAGACCCAGACCGGCGCGGGCACTGCCGTGCAGGTTCTGGCGGGCCTGGAGACGGTGGCGGCGTCGGCAATGGAGATGTACAAGAAGGACGGCGCGCCTAGCCTCACGGTGACGGATGCGCACGCGGTGCTGGTGAATGACGTGGCGCTGAAGCAGGGCATGCTGGCCATCTCGTCGAAGTCGAGGTCGAACTACCCGCAGTTCGTGTCGTGGCTGGCCACATTTGCCACGTTTGTGCAGTGCTTCTTCCCCTGCGGCTGGCGGCACAATTTGCCTATAGATGGGAGCGGAGGGAAGGCGATTGCCATCCAGCCGAAGCTGGTGGTGCTTTACCTGGCGATGGTTGCCAACGGCCTGGTGCCGATGGGCGGGTTCGTGTGCGACTTCGAGGACGGGTCGGCGTCGTTCGCTGCACGAGGGATGAAGGTGCCGCACTCGAAGAAGAAGCCGTCGGGCGGGAAGGACAACTTCACGATGAAGACGATCGACCTCTTTTTTGACGGGCTGAGCGGCTGGTCGCGCGCTCACAATGTGCTGGCGCCGCAGGACGACCCGGAGTGGAAGGTGATGATCAAGGCGATGAGGAAGGTGTGCAACGTGCGGCTGGATTCAAACCGGCCCTACAAGGCGGCGGCGCTGTGCCCGGTGACCGTGGCGTCGCTGATGTCGACCCTGTCGGTGACGAATGCGGGGGACGTGAACTTCGCCGCCGTGATGGCGCTGGGGCTGGCGTTCTGGATGCGGCCGAACGAGTGGTTTTTCCTCGACGTGGAGTGCTTGGCATTTGTGGAGATGCAAGGCATGGAGCTGCTGCACATCCTGTTTGTGATCTCGAAGGCGGACGAGTTCAGCTCGGGAGTCGTGCGACGGACGGCGCACCGGCTCGGGTGCGGCGGAACGAGCACGGCGCCCGAGATTGTGCTCGATGGCGACGCGCACTTTCACGGTGCCTTCATGTGCCCGGTGTGCAACCTGGCGTTGGATCGAATTCCTACTGGTCCGCTCCTGCAAGGTGCGCCCGTCCCCGTCAAGGTTGCAGCGAGAAGCGGCGAGAGACTGCGAAGAGAGATAGGAAGAGGCAGACTCCCTAGGGTGGGCGACGGCTAGCGCATCACACACCTCTCCTTAAAATCCCTGTGTGGTGGCGGCGTGCCGTCCTCCCATCCCTCCCTTGGGTTGTTTGTTTTCTTTCTTTCTTTCTTTCCCCTCCCCGTCCGCTCCCTCCCGCTTGGCGCCCATCCCGCCCTCCGCCCTCGCCCTCCGCCCCTGCCCCGGCTGACCTGGGTGGCATCTCCTCATCATCAGGCGCCAAGTGGGAGGGAAGTGGACGGGGCCTGAGCCGACCTAGCCCTAAACGGAATGGGGCGCCCAACACGTGCCGGATTACTGTGCCTTCGGTTCGTGAAGGGTCGGTGCGTGTCGTGACCCCCTGGAACACCCGTACCCCCGCACCATCTCCGTCGCTTGGTTGCTTAACCTTGCTACCACCGGAAAGAAAGAAAAGAAAGAAAACAGACAACCCAAGGGAGGGATGGGAGGACGGCACGCCGCCACCACACAGGGATTTTAAGGAGAGGTGTGTGATGCGCTAGCCGTCGCCCACCCTAGGGAGTCTGCCTCCTCCTAT